CGTCTCCGCTCATTCTCTTCCTACCACGAGCGATATCGAGCTCCTTCTTCATCCACCCCACTATCAACTCCATCTTTATTCCGGACTCGGAATCGCGGGCTCCCCGCGGGCTCCGCTATCCTTAAACTAAATACTGCCGATGACAGCCGAGCGCTTCTACGGTTGAAAAAGAGAAGCGGAGAGGAGAGATGTCTGTATTACAAGAACTACGATCTTACGTCCCTTCCTTCCTCCTCGTTCCTTTATCCCCGTCTGTTTCTCTTTTATTTCTCTGTGTGTGCTTTTCTGCGTAATACACGGAATACCGCTTGCTACTTACTACCCAGCTTTCGCGGCGTAAGAATTGAGAATGGACGAACTGGAGCGTATATCGGCGATGCTCGGAAGAATACAGAGAAATTTCTATACTCTATTCCGATGATTACCTAACGTCACAATTCTCGCAAAATTCTATCTTCTAACTCTTTATCTATTAATAATATGTATAGATATTTCTAAAAATTATTTTAACATATAAATATGTAAATCCAGCTTATATATTTATCATATAGCTCAATTTTTTCACATGTATACACACACACACATACATAGTCTGTTTTGCACAGCGTAGAGAGAAATTAAAAAACAAAACTTGAAATCGCGGATGTTAAAAAGTTTATTGAACGCGAAATTTAATTAAACTGGCTGTCACCGTGACGGAGGTGGGAAAGGGAGGGTCTTCATCGTTTCGTGCGTTCTATTTTATCCGGACGAATTTAGCGTAAATCGGAGCACCGGAGGTGGTATCGAGAATGACGCCAGAGCTATAACAACAGCAATGACTATGGCGTACACGGTATGCCACGGCTTAAACTCAACGGCTCATAATTGCTTTCCGATTAGATACCATCCCGATAGCGTTCCGATAGCGTTATTTTCAATTCCACGTTGCGCTCCGCGGCAGCAAGCAGCGCGTATCGACAGGTATATACCGAGGCAAATTCAACAGGCGGCCGTGCGCGCCGGTCTTTGTACACTTTTCCGATTAATAGGAAGAGGGAGGAATGGAACCGGCTGACCACACGCGGCGACTATCCACTCGGCCAATCCCCTCGATGTGATACTCGACATTTAGCTTTCTTGAAACCGCTCGGCTTATGAGATCGACCGAAATCGATTATTAAGATTATCCGTTGCCTGTGATTCTCTGATTGAATTCCAAGAAAGTTGTCAAACCCTTTTTATCCTTTGCCAACCACGTTTAATTCCCTTTGAAACAATTTTTATCCTTTTGCCAACCACGTTAATTTTTTCTCATTATGAAAACGAATTGCTCCATTTTATAGCGGTCAATGACCGTCGTAATTAATTGTGGCTGAGATTAATTTGATCAATGCAGATCATGAATCTATTTGCGTATTTTTTTCTTAAACTATTATTACGTTGTCAATAATTGCATGCAAAATGCAGTGCAAAATATATATTAATAAAGATAATAATAGATTGATAAAGTTGGATTGATAAAATACCGTTCGTCCGGTCAATAAAAATTTTTGCGCTATCTTTCAGCCCACTGAATGAATTCTAAACTACGGAATGTCATGACATAGCGACTCAGAGATTTAAAATCATTGCCCGCGCCGTTATACGGGCAAACGTTTACGGCATCCCGAAAGGCATGTCTTGTCCTGCCGTCCGAGGGAAACGATAAATTGACCCGTGTAGGCGACGGTTTGGCGCATTCCACGTCGTAGATCCATTGTGGTCCGAAGGATTACTCGGCGGTTGAATGAATAGCGGTCGGACGTTCGCGAACCCACTCTCGTAGGTGCGCCATTAATTACGCGCCGTAATTAAACATTGTGTCGAATTATCTTTCTTGGCCGGTGACGTGACGCGGAGGGAAAAGGCAGGCCTCGGGTGCGCCGCCTCTTTGTGCGCCGATATAGCTTATAATCTTATCCGAGCAGGAGCTAATTTAATGTACGTTACGTAAAAGTTTCATCGGAGAAACTAAACGCCGCTCTTGAGCTTATTCACGGATTGACGGATTAAACTTCGCCCGGGGAATCCGCCTCTTCAAAAAGACCTTTTGTGGTGTACGCCACTTTGATATAGTTCGAAACGAAGCTACGTATCTGCTCGTTACGAGGAGCGGCCATCTTTTCGCCAAGATTTCTCAAATATCGAAATCCCATTATTTATCCTCCTCTCTCCTATCCGGCGGAACGTCGGATAATTCCGAGTATAATGTCCAAGTTGAGTTTAAAAAGCTAAACCTCTGGGACATCCGACCTCGAGACTTCTCGCTCGACTTATCTCGAACGGGGGAAAGAGAGAGACGGCAAAAGTGTATACTGCTGCAATATTTATCAAGTATGGGTCAGAAAAGCGGCACGTCGTAGATTATTAGCGAGGAGCAGCGCACGGCTCCACCATCTCGCATTCTCCACCCGACTCTCTACGTGGCTACTGAATAAACACTTTGATTTATGCGACAGCGTGCTCCCGATAAGGATAAACCGGTACACCATCAAGAGGGGGGAGGAATCAAAGGGGCTTGAATTTCGATTAAATTCCAATCCGGGAGATTCAGTCCTTATTACTTTCCCGACTTTATTCTATACGTTTCTATCTTTTTCATCCAAAATATTATGTACACCACGTACGTTGCAAAGTTTTATTCTTGAGCATGAATACTTTAAAATGAGATTTTTTAAGTTTTTATCGCAGAGCACACGAATACGTGAAATATTTGGTACATCAAGAGGAAGATGAATCAAAGAGGCTTGAATTTCAACAAGAGATTTATTCCTTGTTATTTTTTCCCCGACTTTTTTCTCAACGTTTCTTTCTTTTTTATCCGAGATATTACATATGCTGCGTTACGAGGTTTTATTTTTGAGCATGAATACTTTAAGATCTCAATAAGTTTCGCGTTTGAGCGCGGCAGCGCGCGATACACGAAATATTTGGCGAAAACTGATCATTGCAGGAAATTTCAAAAACTCGCAGATGGAACGTATAACTCGCGACAAGGAGCGCGGAATGTATGTAATATGTATATATATATAATATATAAATTTAACACGGCATACATTTTCTCATGCGGCGCACTGCGCGAAATACGATACGTATATGCGCCTGTACATGACGGTACCTGTCTTGTCTACTCTTTCTTTTCTCCTTTCCAAGAAATAATAAAATTTTCTTCTCGTCCTCGCTCCGCTTGGAAAAATTGATATTGACGTAGATTACACGCGAGCGATCGCCGATCGCCGATCGCTAAAACGCTTTCACGGTAATGATAATACGCGCGCGTGAAATTACAAGGGCATGCCATATCCGCGTTAACATAATTGATTATTCGCTTCTGCCAATTATTACTCGACAACCAACGGGCACTTGACCGATTAGCGCCGTTAGACAGTACTCTCCATGGCTGATGCATTTCAGAAGTGCTCTTTACTCTTCCCTCTCCCCCATGCCTGGCTGGCTAACTTGCCTCCTAATCGGATCGATGGTAAATTACTCTTGCATCATGGGAAAGACGGGAAATTAGCAGTTACAACGCGATTAACTTGTTAATAGCATTGTTTCGCGTTAAATATTAACAAAAAAAAAACGCAAAATAACGAAATTATCAATTTCACCGCAGAGTTTTCAATTTTGAAAACAATTCTGGAAACAATTCCGGAAACAATAGTAGCGTACAAATATATCCATTTGTTTGTATTTTTCTGTCGATTTTTACTAAACATTTGACATCGTTCACGAACGGATTTCGCGATCAATGACGCGCGTAATAAGACACTTGTTATTCTAGTCCCGACAATATTGAGCTTCAATGGCAGCGGGGGAGTTGCGGAAATGGATTTTGTTGCGGTGCCCTCTCCGCCGTTCTCTCGACAGCTCGCGATTCTCGCGTTACATTGCGGTGCGCGATTATATCAACGAGCGCGAATATTGTTGTCCCCACTTTGTTAAACGACGTTGCGACTCAGTTTACACGAACGCTATCACCCGCGGCGGCTATCTTCCGCTCCGTAAGATCAATATCTGGTTTCGTGCAAGATATTTCTGGCAGAGAATTGAATTTTCCGCGGATGCACCGCGACCGCGCTCCATCGCGCTGCATCAATTTTTCTATATGTTTTCGGAAACTCTATCCCGACAGTAGGTTAACGCGTGTCGTCGTTTTGATGCCAAAAAAAAAACGAGATTGTACAAATGATGGCTGTAGATCACAAAAAAATATGCGAGTTATAGGACAAAAAAAATCGCAACAATATAGAATAAACTCCGCGAATATTTTTTTAAATAAAATACATTCTCATATTTCCGCGTTTACGGCAAGCGATTGTGTGCGCGCGCGTTATCTTAGCGATAAGTTGCAAAGTTGAAAATTCTGTAAAGTGAAACGACTACGAAACTCGTACTGCCGTCCCATGTGTCTTATTAAAACTGTAACTCGGAATGTGTCTCACACAAAACGTGTTATGAATCACGAATCACGATAATCTGACGCCGTGCTTGCTCGAAACAACACGCTCCGTTATATTCACAAATGATTAACATGAAGCTTAATAGCGAATTCCAGTTTGCTTAACGTGATAATGAAGTACCGTAACAGTTATTTTTAACAATAATTATACGGTTAATAATAATACAGATTTTATCAGTGGTATAACGAGAGAATAACGTCTGTGAATTAATCTTTCCTATTTTTCCGGAGTTCAGAAATCTAAAAAGATACACGAAAGACCATTAATACCAGAAACGTAAAAAAGTTAGACGTAAGTTTTTTATTTTTATCTGGGAAAACCAAAAGATTCGATGAAAGGAATCTCTTTAAGTCATAAAATGCTTTCGAGATTTTTCCGACCTGGTTTATTTTTCTGTTGAACGATAATTGGTTCCGCAATTACCGTCCGTAATATCATCAGGAGCACGATGTTCGACGATTGATCGAGTTTTTTAGAAAATCGGCGAACGCGTTGCGGTCAAAAGAAACTACTTACCGAGCGCGAGGACGAGGACGAGCGCGAACGGTGCCAGCGACGAGAGCGCGAAACCGCGATCCACGTGGTGGGCCGACCGATTCGTGCACGGCCGATGCCCGGCGAACTGTCTCTTCCGCGGCTCTGCGTCCATCCCCGCCGGCGGTGCCGTAGTCATCGTGTTCCTTGGAAAATTTCGCGAGAGATCAGAGGATATAGGTAGGCAGCAGGCGGATGGCAAGGTAGACGGACTAAACGGGTTAAGACGAGAAGGATCTACCACTCCCGTTTCATCGCGGGGGAGAGGAGGTCAGGGGGTATTCACCTGTTCGGCTTCCGACTGCGTATCGGTATAAACATAAGGGAGGCGGCGAAGTCGGAAAAGTGCGGATAGTTGCGTATACGCGTGAGCGCGTGTGTTATACGTGTGCGGATTGTGTGCGTGTGCGTGTGTGTGTGTTACGCGGGGAAGGGAAGGACCAGGAACGAGACGACCGTACAACCCACGCGCGCAACCCTCTGCCTCGTGCGCCGCAACCCCTCTCGGCACTCGTCGCGTCTAGGCGCCTGGAGATAGACTAAACCGGGGCACTTCGAGCTGCGCGCTAAGTTCCCTCGGTGCCGCGATTCGACCGACCTCGGACGCGCTCGACGGCGCTCGGCGCCGACCGGCCACCCTCGGCACGCGCTCGGCATCATACCCTACGCGCTACGCCCGCGGCGGGCTCCGGCTCCGTCGTGAGGATACAGAAGAAATTGCACGTAGCCTAATGCCCGTATCACGCTGCACGCCACGCCGGAAACGAGATGCCAAAAGTTGGGGTTATTTCAGGGTTTCATCGCGTGGACGAGAGCGACTATATAAGTCGCGGTCGATTCCTTCCGAATTACTTTAACGTCGTACATTGTTGGAATAACGACGAGCAGCTCTAAATTGGAAGAAAGATCATTTTGTTACGTAGCCAATCATAAATTATCATAATTATAGATATAATTGATTGTAATAAGAAAAGAAATTTGAAGCTTTTCGATAACTTGACGGCTGACCTATATATATTCGTCAGATTTACTGAAATCTGGCTGACCGAGTCCGGCTATTTTCACTACGACAACACAACGAAAACGTACAAAATAAATCGCGAACCTGATTATTTTTGCATAGAAAAATAATTAAAATTTCACACTGGAAAAACGGACAAGATTATTTATTCATCTCCTAATTTATCGCGCTTTACCGTAAAATTCCTCACCTAAAAAGATACCATTAAAAATTTACAAATATTTCATAACTGATTGCCCGTCTCTCAATTTATCCTATTTCTCATCCTATCACATTCTATTCCGTCTCTGACAGAAATATAAAGAAAAATAGCCCGCGAGTGTCCGACCGAATAACGTCACGCAAATACGCGTGCAGCGCGAACAAAACGTATGCGATCTTTTCGAAGAAACGCCAGGGAAGACGCGATGCTGAAAGGAACGCGGGATGATGTACATCCGTTTCGGTTCAAGTCTCGCACGCGAGACCACCATCGTCCTCACGCCTGGTATAACTCCTGCTTCTCCCGGAGACCCCGGGGTTTCTCCTACGTCGGGGGGGGTTGCCTTCAGTGCGTACGCGCCAAGCCCACATCGCCGGCTAGCGGCGGTGCAGCGCCAGCGGGGTGACCGACCGCCATCAACCACCGACTTCAAAGAGCGAGAGATCCGCGTAACCTTACGCCACCGCCGCCGCCACCACCCCCGACTGCCACCGCCGTCGCTTCCCCGCCCCGTCGCCACTATACTATTGCCGCCGCCGCCGCCAGGCACAAATTAAATAGCCGTGCTCTAGCGTAGCCGTTTACCCTTACTACCCCTATGCTGCGTGTGTGCCGGCCGCGCGCTGCTCCGTTTTTCATGCATCGTTGAATACACCGAATGTCTCTTTTGAAGGCTTTAACGGTTGCTAATTTAAATCTCGCGAGCCACCGCGCAGTCCTCTCCCTTTTCGCCGGCTGGTGCATGAGGGCCGGGGGACCACACACGTGAGATCGACCGTGTCATCCGCTGGAGATTGAAACGCTACGAAGCGAAACGGAAGGAAAAGAAACGCCGGTTTCTCTTAATTTCGCACCAACGTAATTGCTTTTTGGCGTGGCGCAAGAAACCTACGACCCCGCGCGTATGCATTTCGTTTTGATGTGCGATCTCGGAGCGAGGTGCGGCCGCGGAACGAACGCTTTTAATTTTCGTCGCGGTTCGGGGATCCGTGACCAATTTTTTCCGATTCGCGCCGATTTCGATCGCGCCGAAGTCGGTTTTGTTAGATAAAAGGCTGCAGAACCCGAAGTGCACAGCTAGAAGCCAATCTTATTTCTATTTACGCACGTGGTATCGAGTCTTCGTTATTCTGCATGAATTAACAATTCAGATAGTAGCCAAGGAAAAAAAAAACACCTAAACTGAAACTTGGTCTGGAAGAACGTGCTTAAAACTTATCTCATCCCGCGGGATACTGGCGGACGATCGCAGCTTCTTAACCATTATTAAAAATATATTCGAGTTTCTAAGATTATGTGCACATGGCGTGTCTTAGCGCATTGCATTTCGGCGCGAGCAACTTCGCGTGTTAAAACGTCATGTAACGTTAGTTTTAATCTTCACTCGATGGCATTCATTTTACGACCTAGTAGTTTTCGTGCAAATTGTAAAAAAAAAAACTGAAATAAATATATAATTTATATCTTGAAAAAATATGTGTATGTAGTGTGTACCGTTTCACTTCCCGTTTTTTTCCCTCAATATTCAATCCCCACGCTCTCATTACTGAATTCATTTATTCCTATTATTCACTTACTTTGTATTCGTTTTTGCGCCATTAATCTTTCGCGCGAGATGGAAAGAGCTTGGGGAATACAATAAAATCAGAGTCTAATAAAGAGATGATTTTCCTTGAAATAAATGCAGGGAAAACTGCGAAGCGGAGATTTTCGTGCGGAAAAGTCGGAAACAAATCTTTTAATAAGAGATATAAATATAAAAATAAGTTTCTAACTCTCGCTTCATCCACGTCAAACACGATATCTTTTTTAATCTTATTCCTATTTTTACTCTCATTCCCATTCTTTTTGTTCTTATCCTTACTTAAGAATGTTCATACAATCATCGCTCGCAAAAAATGTGTTCGTTGTGTGTAAATGTGTGTACGAGTCCGCGGAATGTGAGCTGGGTCCGTAGGTTCACTAAGCCCAAACGACTGTCGACTGTGCGGACAAGTCGTCCCCGCGGCACCGAGAAACCGCGCGAGAAACTGAATTCTCACGACATCCAACGAGCTTGAACATAATTGCCGAACGCCGACGTTGCGGAGCTGTATCGCGGTCGGCAACAGGAATTATTCTACATCCTTCATATTACCGTCCATGCCTGTTTCCGACCCTGTTCCGCGAAATTTCCACAGAGGACGGTAGCGCACGGTAAACACTTGTTGTGCAAATTCCAAATTCGTTATGATGAATGATGATCAAGCCATGATATCGCGATATCTCGACTCTCGACGCTTCGTCTTTTAACTTTGAATTATCGATAAAACTGACGGACGTGCAACAATAGCCACGATACAACAAAGCGCTTTAGCTCCTTTAGAGGCGATAGAAATAATTCAAATTACTCTATGCTGTATATACATTTCCAGCAAACACCAAAGTAACACGCAACTTACATGCAACTTAAAATTTCCTACACATATTGCATTTACATTTTTGAGTAGGAAATTGCGAGTTACATGTGTTACTTGGTGTTTGCTGGGTTTTCTCTGAAACGTCGAACCGAACTCCTCCGAAAAAGGAGAGAAACGGTCTATAATTAGCAAGAGGCATTGAGCGCCTCTTCGAAACCAATTCGTAGAACGTTCGCATTGCGCCTGCGGATTCGACTTCCCCACATTATACAAGTCCAGCCACGAACGGGAGTATATAAGTACTCGTCGCTCTCTCTTCTCCGGTAATAAGTATGTCGTAACTCGTGACTGGAATGAGTCACGGTAATCTTATCGTCTAACCGCGGTTCCTTGGAACCTAATGGAATTTCGAGATTGCCGTTTCGCTGCACGAGAGAGTTCCGATTTTCCAATCGCGAGACCGGCGGAAGGGCGGTGGCGAACCGGGCGCGAGGAGCGTATCTCGCGCAATGTGTGAAAGTCTTCGAGTGCGAATCTAACTATCGCTCGAATGTCCCAAGGTCGCGTACGCCCGCACGATTGTAGATCACGAGGGGATATCTACGCGCACGGCGCACGGTACACTCTCGTGGTCGATCCGTAAGAAAACATAGGCGCGCAGCCTTTTTTTCCTCGGCTCTCAGTCTCGTCGACACTCGATCGACAGTTCGCACACGGCTGCAGCATGGGCGCGGGCAATTGCAGAGCCTTCCGGAGAAGCGCCGACTCGAGTCAGGACATCTCCGCCGCAACAGGTGTGTACCACGCCAAGAGGAAAACTGAAACTGGAGAAAAGTGCGAGAATCACGCAAAATTCGTGTAAAATCTGAAACAAAGCTGTTTTCTATTTTTTTTTACACATCGTGCTATTTTGATATTGTGTTAAAATTTCTCCTAATCGCAAATTAATTCGGAACGACACGCGCGATCAAAGACTGCTCTCGTATGCGTGTATCTTCTTCTTCGCTTCTTTCATTTTTTTCTTTATTTTCTTGTTCCTTTATTTCTTCTTCTAATTCTTATTCTTCTCTATCTTCTCCTTATTTATTCTTTCCTTTTCTCTTTATTTTCCTTTCTTTGCTTTTCTTCTTTCTTTATTTCTTCTTTTGCTCTTTATTCTTCTTTTTTCTTCTATTTCTTCTTTCCTTTTCTCTTTACTCTCCTTTCTTCCTTTTTTCTTTTTCTTCTTTTTTTCTCTCTTCTTCCTTTCTTTCATCTTTCATCGCGCACAGTGATCGATTAATTTTGAGATTTAAGATTTTAATTTGTTCGCGCTTTTTTTGCGAGAGGCGAATCACATCAGCTATATTACGCCGATGAAGCGTTCGGTTAACGACGGGAGTGACGGAACAATTACAAGCGATTAAATATACTGACTGGCGGTTTAAGAAACATTCGTTCTGCTTTGTGCTATGTAGCACGAGGACGGACGCACCGATCGAATAGTGCCGGCACGTTCTTTCTCTACTTTCTCAGTGCCTTGCGGGGATCGATGCGTTGTGTCAGGACACTCGCGCTGCTCGGACGGAGGTGGGCCGCCTTGACGAACATGTCGTTCTCGCGCCTTTTCCAGGGTACGTCCTCGTGACGCTTAATAAGGCAAATGTCTTACAAATGTAAGACACACGACACAGATACGTGAGATACGGGACACCTCTGCGGGGGCAATACCTTTACCGGTGTGTGTTGCAACAAACGTAAACAATTAAGTGACGCATAGAAATGTATGCTCCTTTCTTTGTAGAGGTTATACCGGAACAGATTGTATGTCGCATTTCCGCGAACGCGGACCTTGTAATTGAGTCACGCTTACTTTCTGACATCACAGCTTAAAAGTAACAGGATATGACTTATGACTATCGACAGAAAAATTCGCGAGAGCGAAAACTCGTGTCGCGCTTTAACAAGTAAACATAGCAATCGATACGTGGGTGAACAGAGAGTAAATCAATATTGATATTTCTCAGGCTAATAATAATTTTTGCGAATTCAATACGTTTCGCCTTCGTGCTAATTAGACTGAAAATGACTCTTCCGCTTTTATTTTATTCTCCGCATCGATATTCATCGCACTTTCATTCGTACGTGACTTGGAGTGTCAAACGCGACGCAACGAACATCCATGTCACGTGCGCGACGCACGAGTCGCGCCGATGCGCCGCAATAACGCCGACGCCGGGGATTATCCCTCGACGGGACTATTACGGTCGTCTGCTCGCTGCAACTACCTCGGGCAAAAGTTATCATTATTCGTTAAGTCATCACTGATAACCGGTGCGACTGCCGATCCACGTACGAGATAACGTCAGCCGGGATTCACGTCCGCGCTCCCCTCCGGCGAGATTTCCTTGTTGTATGCTGCGTTACGTAATCGATGCGAGTTGTTTGTTGTACGCGTCGTTAACGAGGATTCTCGTTTCGTTATGGAGACACTTGATGAGGCGATTGATCGGAGGTACTCAATGGGTACCGCTGTCATGCAAGCTCGCAAATCAGCTTGTCATGAGTATTCTATTGTTTACTGGCTGCTATAGAGACGTAAAGAAAGAATAGAGTAAAATTATCTATTGCGTGCGTTAGATTAGACGTATGCACACACATACACATAATAGTATTGTCAATTTATCACATTCACATATTCACTTTTGTGTTTCCACGTTTATATCTATGCATGCCAAGATACGTTCAGAATTATGATTAGATTGCGATTTTAGAGTTATAGTGGTTCACTCTTTTGTAATTTCTAAGATATCCGTTTCCATCATGTTGAATAAAATTAAAGAGGATTACAGTGAATACAATAAAGCTGAGAATATCTCGCATGAATATAATAAATTGCCATGTTGTTGTACTTGTGAGTCACCTGTTGCTGCGCACCTTTAAGAATAGTCTATAATAAGCTCTTAATACACGTCTGTAATAAGCTACAGATAATTATTATAAATAGTTAAATCGTAAATTGTCTTGCATATTTCTCAGGCTCTTCGGAACAACATGACTATGTCGAGGGTGTGGTGTGCAAGCAGGAAGATATCAACGAAAATGAGATGCAGCAGTTATCGCTTGGAGAGGACGGGGGAAAAATTTTGTTGGTGAAACAAAAGGGAGAATTGTACGCGATTGGTACCAAATGCACGCATTACGGTGCTCTGCTACATACCGGCGCGTTAGCAGAAGGACGGGTGAGATGTCCGTGGCACGGCGCGTGTTTTAACATCAAAACTGGGGACATTGAAGATTATCCAGGCTTGGATTCTCTACCATGCTACAAGGTAATTTACGAACTTATCAAGATTCTCTCCTACATATTTGTTTAACATGTTATTTTTATGTATACTGCTTTTAACAGGTGCGCGTGGACGAAGCCGGTCTTGTTCACGTAAGAGCCAAACGTAAGGACCTGGATATTAACAAACGCACGAAGGATATGGCTGCACGTGACCCTGAAAATACGAAAACGGTCGTAATAGTTGGCGGTGGACCGTCGGGTGCGACTTGTGCGGAGAGTCTGCGACAGGAAGGCTTTACAGGACGCATCGTTATGGTGTGCAGAGAGAACGCGGTACCCTACGATCGAATAAAAGTGTCCAAAGTGTTGGATTTCAATGTTCAGAAAGCGGCATTACGACCTGCCTCGTTTTACAACGATCACAAGATCGAAACGAAACTTGGAGTAGAAGCGATAGGTACAAGAAATAAGCATCTCGTTCAACATATATTTAAGCCGCGTTACCTATATTTTACATTACATTTTCGTGCTACATTTTTGACTCTGTTACAGGTCTAGATACGACTCAGAATATTGTCAAATTGAGTAATAACGAGAACTTGAAGTACGATTATCTATTTTCTTGCACAGGCAGTAAACCGAGGATGCCAAATGTTCCTGGAGCGAATTTATCGAATATTTTTGTTCTACGAGATTATACTGATTCGCAAGGTGTATATGCGCTTCTGTCTCCCGAGAAACATGTAGTTGTCCTAGGATTAGGCTTTATCGGCATGGAAGCCGCGGCTTATTGTATCGGCAAATGCGCGTCTGTCACGGTAATAGGACGCGATACCGTGCCGCTCAGAGCGATATTCGGCGCGGACATCGGTAGCAGAATTAAAAAAGAGCACGAGGCAAAAGGTATTGTATAAAGTTACACTTGTATGAATAGAATATTGGTATGCATTAGTATTAGTAATAATAAAATCAATGTTCCCAGGTGTGAAATTCATTTTCCAGAACAATATCAAGCAATTTATTCCAAAAGAAGGTGAAGAAAGTGTTGTGGCTAAGGTCGAACTTACAGACGGCCAGATTCTACCAGCGGATATAGCTATTGTTGGAATAGGATCCACTTTTTATACAGACTGGCTGAAAGAATCTTCTGTTCAAATGAGAGACGATGGTGCTATACCAGTAAATAAGGTATAACATTCGGACACGGTACTAATTATGTACAGTTCTAATTATGTATCATTCTTCATTTTATTAATTGGATGTTAATCGAATTCTAGCATTTAAGAACGAGTGTGGAAAATGTATATGCTGGAGGTGACATAGCTTATGCACCGATATATGGATCCGACGACACGTTAGCTGCGATAGGTCATTATTCTTTAGCTCATTATCACGGCAAAATTGCAGCTCTAAACATATGCGGTAAAGAAACTGCTTTGAAGACTGTGCCATTCTTCTGGACGAACTTACTGGGTAGAAATTACAGATATGCAGGTAAATTTGCACATAATATATTTATTATACTTTTGAAATGCTGTGTTTGCACTGCTGTATTTCGTAAAGATTTAACAATTCAATTAAACAATCTTTATCGCTTTATTTTCAGGCCACGGAAACCCTACTAGCATAAAGATTCATGGCTCACTGGACAAACTGGAATTCTTCGCTTACTATCTTAAAGATGGCAAAGTAATAGGAATTAGTAGTGTTAATGCTGATCCAGTTGCAGCAGATTTTGCAAATATGCTGTACGAGGGAAAGATACTAACAGAAGAGGAGATTAATACAGATCCGTTTGGTTGGATGAAAAATAAGCCAAAGGATGTCTCAACCCGGTTTCAAGAAAGCATTCTTATTGACGTGCAAGCTTGAATCAATTTATACAAACGAAATAATTTAATGATTTAGAACAATTATGTCACAGTATTAGTCGCAACTTTTACTTTGTACATTCTCAATGTACCTTATTAGACGTAACTTGTGTAATATATTTCATGATACTGTTCTTATGTTAAGAAATACTTTATGTAGTATATTCGGCATTGTGCACAAAAAGAAAAGAGAAAATTAAATGTCATTGTTGAATTTGTTGCTTATTTAATTTACAAAAACCTAAAGTGATCTACAAAACGTAATTACACATGTCTGTAGGAAGCCTTAGTCCCACGCTTCTGTGACTCTCATATGGCACAGACGTTCGGCGATCGTGATCTCTTTCTGGAATTTGGCGTCCTTTTCACCATATATCTTCTTTAAAAAGTTGTCCTTCCTGTCTCCAATCAGATCCTTCATGTGGCCGCTAGACTGTTCAACCGTGAGATAGGGATGCCGTAGAATCAACATATTCTGCTCTTCCCTCTCGAAGTCTTGCTTCATCTTAAGCAAATCATGCATAGATGGTTTCTTAACTTTTCGGTATTTCCTGCGTGAAGCAAAGTTTTACAGAGTTACACGTGACGAATTCCATGTGATGAAAAGGAAGCAATGTAAAATCGTGGTTTTTAACCCGATAATTAAATATGATTAGTCTTTCTGAAAGAAAAGAGAAGCACTCACCCTCTGTATCTATATGGTATTCTGCAAACGTAGCCTAACAGGGTCAACCCAAGCCGCATTGTAAATCAGATATTATACCGAAAAAATTGTTAATGCACAAATATTTATAAATCTTGATGTTATCCGAAAACGTACGGTTATTCCTAGCATTCACAGCCACAGCATGCTTTTTGGTTAGGATTATTGTGTTATCACTGCTGCCCTCTCACGTCGGAGAGACGGACACGTCCACGTTTTGATGTTTTTTGTTTGATACATTACGTGACAATACATTACCGATAAAGCAGTGACTTATCTGACTTACTTTAATGAGACAAATAAGGAATAAAATAAAGGAATAAGGCATGTTGCATCTCACTTTAATATACGTGTACTGAAGTGAGATGCGACATTCCCTTATTCCTTATCCCTTTATTTTATTCCTTATTTTATTTCATACTTTATAACATCTGCTGTTGCTGTTAGTATCACTGAGCATTCACGTGTAAAACATAATTAATGATTTACATTTACGTGTATATAATGTAAATTATGCTTAACATGTCATCTATGTTGATAATGAAGAATCTACGGAGAGGATCATTGAAGATTTATATTTCAACGGAATTTTATATTTTTATCACTTTATCAGATTATATGTATAAACCTGGCATGCTTGTTTTAGCCGAATTTCCTACACGGTTCATCTTTCCTCTCATCCTTTTCACGTTGAAGAGAAAAAGAAAGAAGATGAATTGTGCAAGAAGTTTAGCTAAAACTAACAGACCTAGCTTATACTTGATCATATTTCACATTTTATCAGAAAAATCGGAAATTTATATAATGAATTTTTATAATGCACAATTGAGCATTTGCTCAAATTTGCGCAAATTAATAGTATAAATTCTATAGCAAGGACACGGAGTTGTTGGATAATTCCCATTTTGACATTCTCCAGGAGTCAGCAAAATTTAAAACACTTAGGCTGCGTTCCAAACCACGCTCTTAACGCTCGAGCGTCGTTCTATCTTTGTTACTTACAGAAAGTTGAGCAAGGACAGAGCACGCTCTTTGCGCTAAGAGTGGTTCTGGAACGCAGCCTTAGATTATAAACACAAGGTCTTGATCATTGTTTGTTATTATTCTTTGCTCTTTATTTCACTTGATGTATTCCGGCGATCATTAGTCCTATGTCAGTCTGACACGAGACATCACATATAAAAGAAGCTCTCAGTTGTGATCGTCGGAATCATCTCTTGTTTTTTTATTAATCTTGACCACTTAAGTAAGTTTCCACCATAAGTTATTTTTGTCTATATCGCAGATTATGACTTTGATTTTACCAAAATGCATAGTATTCTATACAGTAGGCACAAAGTATAAGGACTTATTTTTGCCGTCACCGATTACAATTCTTCGGAGATCAATTTTAAATTTGGGGACTCCATTTTTCGCGCTTTCCATCTTTTTACTGACGAAATTTGTCACAACATTTTATTGATTTTTTACTGCATTTTATTGTAAAACTTACATCATGCCGTTTTAAATTATTGATTATTATACTTACGCAATTAAGTCTGGCATTAATCATAGCTATTTTATCTAACTGTTTTAACATAATAATGCGTTCGATTATTATTTCATCTTACGTATTTTACCAGATTATTATAAAATTACTAGTCAATATTGATTTATTTTATTACTGTTTTGACATCTTCTCAATTTT